GAAATTAAAAGAAAATATTTTTGCATTTTATTTTAAAAAAAAAACAAAATTGGGTTCACAAAGAAAGACTTTTCTAAAGAAGGAAGCAAAGGAAAATATTTTTTATTTTTTAAAAATTGTGGGCTGGAACCGATGAGGTTTGCCTACGTATCTCACATCCGGTGAGAATCAGACCCGTGTAGTTCGGCTAGAAGCTGGGAATATTTAGAATTTTCAGTATATTTTTCAATACCTTTTGAGTAAAGTGAGGCACAGTTCGACTTTTGCACCCAACCCATGTGTTGAGTTCCCAAAGTCAAATGCACGTGATGCAAACAAACGTACCTACTAGGAATCCGGCATGAGGTTATGTCACTCTAAGTTNGTGCACTTCCCAGAAGATTTAGAAGACTCAGAGAGAAGAAGGGTTTCGTAACAGTTTATATACAATTCAAACAATATCAAAGCAGTAAAAAGCGTCATTTAGCATATTAAGCTCAAACACGTAAAAAATCAGATAATAAACAAAATCCAACTATAACAGTTATTCTAAGCTCGAATTCTGAACCCTGGACCAGAAGTTCTGGGTTCTCCTCCTCAGTAGAGTCGCTAGAGCGGTCACACCTCCTTTTTTCCGGTGGAGATAGGGGATATGAAGTTTTTTCAATTAAAGTGACATTGTTCGTAATTGGATTATTTATTTAATTAGAGTTGCCACTTGGAATATTTATGGTGTCCCAAGTCATAGGTTTACTTTAAATCCCAAATCGAGCAAATTGACTCTTATTTATGGTCTGCGAACACAGAAGACCGGGTAAGGAATTCTGTTAATCCGGGAGAAGGTGTGAGGTACTCCCTAGTTCCGTGATTTTAGCACGGTCACTCAACTATTAATAATTGTCCTAATTATCTGATTTAATACATATTTGAAACCTACTGTGCATTTTTTACTTTTAAAACCGCTTTTAATTAATTTAATCGTCTTTTAGTGCTTATGGAATTATTGCTGGAACAAGTTACGATGTCGTAGACTTGTCATTTTGGTACATATTGCAAACCGCGCCACGTGAAACGCACCCACAATTTACAACATGTTCGTTTTTATTATTATTTGAAGTTGTAGTCGAGTTGCATGAAATGCACACTCGAATTGAGGCTTACGTCTCGTGACCATGCCACGAGAACCGTACCCATGGCCACGATAATTTATTAATCGCGCCTAAAGAGAACTACGATATTCAAAATTATTTATTGTCCTAAGATTTGAGGTTGCATAAGGAGGTCTAGAATTATGGAATTACACCTACGGGAGTGAGCTAACTCTTTTAATTTAACAAATTGCTATTGAGAAAGAAGAAAAATAAGAAATTGAAGCAGATATTTTACCACTAATGATTTCAAGTCTGTCCAGTTATAGCTCAATCGAATTAGGGGAAATAGCTGAACGAAGCAAATGAAATATAGATATAGAACGAAACAATTCAGATTGCAATCTACACCTGACTAAACTTGTACACATCGATGCCCACTGCTCAAGTGGTATTTTGATGACGAACTTGATTTCAAATTGCTACATATGTATTTAGGAATAAGACCATAACTTTTGGAAGATGTCATAAACTTAAACCAACAATTGGAGTATCAAATTAGTACACAATTCACTTGATCAAATTGCCTTCAACAATCAGACACCAAATACATATCACGCATTTACTTAGAAGGAAACAGATAGGGACTTTCAGAAGATGTAGGCAATGGAAATGCGACTAAATGCAATATCGTACACTCGGTTCTTTCACAAACACTTGTAATGAACACAAAATGGTATGAAAAATCAGACACTAAATAAATCCAAACTAGAACAAAGAGGTTAATTAGATAGATTCCATATTCATATGTAAAATTTCAAGCAACCCAATACCAATGTTCGAACTTAATTAGGTAGACAAAACTAATTTCATGAAATCGAAAACTATGAATCTGCTGTCTCGAACCTCGACATACACAAAACAAACTTATTAAGTATTTTTCACAAAAGTATGGATCGATCTGTACATCAACAAACATACAATCAACAGGGACTCAAGAGCATTTCTCATATCAAGCTAACAGAAACAATCTCCAGATATTCCAAGAAAATCACAAACAATGACATCGATATTTCACACCTAAAATGACTACAAAGATCAACCAAACTGATTTAAGCACAACGAGACATGCTTCAAAATGTTGGAACGACTAAACTGATTCAACAAGCACCCAAAGAACATCTAGTGAGAGTCTAACAACTTAAAGCTGACAGGAACATGCCGAAACACTTATGAAATTTGCAAGCAAGTCGTCACTGATTTCATGATCCTTCCAATAACTATATGACCATGCCGAACTCGAATCGATCATATCAAACAAAAGCGTTCAAATCTGAAGTGATATATTAAAACACATAAACAAAGTCATGAATGGAACAAAAAAGCACTCAGATCCAATCTTAGTTAATCCCTACATTCAAGATTCAAACACTCCCCAAAATCTGTTAGATCTATGGCCCTGACCATACTGAGATTAACACCACAGTCAAGATAAGGGAAAGAGTAAGATAATGAACCTGAAATTGAGCTTTCGATTAAACTTCGGCCGTGAATATATAATGAGAAACCCGACAACAAAACTGAAATCGAACTGAAAAGGCAATAGCGGACAAAAATCGACACCTCGAGTAGCGACGAACTCAACGACTTCTCAATCGAACTCTATTTTTCAACCAAAATCCATATTGAAAAGAAGAGACAGAATATATATGTTTTCGAATTTTTAGACAGTAATCGAAATAAAATAGAACGAAAGAACACTGAACATATATATATATATATATATATATATATATATATATATATGTATATATTGTATTTTTCTTGTTCTGGAACTAAACCAAAAAATCAAAATAAAGATCAACAATTGAGAAGAAGAAGAACGTTTTTTAGAACCCTAGCTTTCCTTTCCAATTTTTCTCTCCAAAAATCCTCTTCTATTCGTTCCTCTCTACTATCTGTGTGTTTATGTGGCTGCCCGTTCTCTCTTGTGTCTTTCCTCAATTTTCAGAGAAAAAGATGGATCATCTCTAGGGGGAGGCGCTACCGTTTTTAGGGGCGTAGGAATTTAGGAGATTAAAAGATATGTTAAGATTTGGTTATAATTGAGTTTAAATATGAGCATAAGAATTAACACGTGTCATTAGATTGGAGGGGAATCGATGGCTAGGTTTAAATCTTGCATTTAAGTGAAGAGTGAGCTAATGAATTGGGAAGAATGAACATTTGTCTTGTTGTGCCAATAAAATCGGAAAATGAGCTTCTAATTAGCTCAAATTCAATTCTTTCTCATTGAAAAAAAATAAAAAATAAAAATACTACCAAAATATACTAATTAATAGGAGAAGAAGTATTATAAAATTGTTTTTTTTTTTGTATTTTTAAACTTATGTTTTTGAAATTAAAATTAAAAGTTGAATGAAATACTATTAAAATGAAAATAAGTAAATACTACTTTTAAACGTTTAGCGGGTCAAAAATTATGTGGTAACGGTAATATCCATCCAAACACGACTTAAGTTAAGTTAAAGGTGTGTGCCAAAACAAAAAAGAAGAAGAAGGTTATGAAAGAAGGAGACAGGGGAAACCCACAAAAGAGACTTTTCCCAGAAAGCAACTAAGGTATGAAAGTGCAGTGAAGTGACACTTCAAGTCACTTTGAGACATACAAGACTATATTAATACTTCAAGCTTCACACGAACCAGTACAAGATGAACTGCAAAATGAAGATCCAAATTTAAAAATTTAAAAAAAAAATAGACCTTAGTTAAACAGGAATGGAATTTAATCCAAATTTAAAAGTTTTAAAAACAAATGGACCTTAGTTAAACAGGAATGGAATTTAGCGCTCGGCAGACCATGGACAAGACCTTAACCGAAGCTTCGGCAAACTCAATTGACTCGCTGGAAATTCGAGGCTCGTTGGCAAGGCGAACTTCGAATCCCTAAATTTAAAAGCCTCACTCAACTGAGATTTGCGTGTTTTAGTGGGTAAGGACTGTTGCATTTTTAGGAGTAGCTTTGGAGCTGAAACAGGGTAGTTTTGGAGCTGATTTTCGCAGCTGTTTTTCTAATGGTTCAAGGGTTGTTTTAATGGAGTTTACATGATTTTGGGGCTGGTGTAAGATCTAGATTTAGCTGGGATTTTTGTGGTATTTTTTGGAAGAGATGAAGTGAGGAAGATAAAGTATTTTTGTGTGATAAAATGGTGATGAGGAGGAAGAAGAAGGCTGCTGTTCTTTCCTGCTTTTTTCCAGATCCCCTTTTCCTCTGTTATGTGTGTGTGTGAGAATTAGGGGGCAAGAAATGTTAGGTTCTGAAATTGGAAAAATAAGATTCTATGCCAAATTGTATTGTAGCAAAATTGCTAAAATTCTTTTTTGCAGGTGAGGTGGGGAATGGAATCAAATTAGTTACGCATGGTGGTGATTTTTCATTGGTTCTCAATTTTTCTTTTTGATTTTCTTTTAAAGGATAACAAAAATAGAATCTATTCTTACTAAATTAGAAATAGCAAGATACTGCATACTCAATATTTAATTCTTAAAGCCTCTAACTTAAAAATTGTACTAAACTATATTTTTTGGAAACTTTTCTTTCTTTGTAAATGAAAATAAAACTAATACTCTAAAAATATAACTCTTTTTGTAGTTTTGAATTTTCTCAAATAAAACCTATAAAAAGGTAAAACAAAAGCTAAAATATCAACGTTAAACTTAAAAACTATTTAAATACTAAAAATGATAAATTTTTTTATTTTAATATGATTAAAAATTAGGTGCTCACATTTGATAAGTGGTGACAAAGAATTTTTTTCTTGACTTCCAATTCTTATTTCTGAAAGTTCCTACTTACTGTAATTTATAGTTGTGCAAATTATCTTAAATTATTTTTAATGTCGATATTCAGCTTTAACTTGTTTGCTCGTTTCAAATTAATTCCACAATCAATAACATTCATAGAAACTACAGATTACAATAGGAGATCTCATCCCAATTTTCTCTGTTGTTGTTTTTCTCTCCTTAATTATTATACATAATATAATTAGGTTCTTCATCTCCTGATCTTTGTTCACCACGTAATTGAGAGACACGTAGACCTACAAAAAAGAAAAGAAAACAGAATAATATAAAATATTTACTCATTAATATATTCAAAAATCACTGGGATACTAGAATATACGTACTGTAATAATCATATAATAGCTTAGGGAGTTTGGCTACTGACCTTGAATGTTAATGTTGGAAGGATAATGTTGGACCCTTTCCCACAACCTCTTGAATCTTTAGTTGTTGGGCATGAAACAAAGTTGTGCAACATTTTGTCCGAACAGAGATATATCTCGTGGAGAAAAATATTGCGAGCAATATTCAACTTACATGATATATACACATTATTGTTGTTACCCACCAATTTGTAAAGAGCAGTTGTTATCTTCTTTTTTGTGTAAACATTAACATTTGATGGTATAATATCGTCTCATGTACCCTTGTCGCTGCATTAAAGTAATCAGTAGCTTGGATCGTCTCACTTGATTGAAATCCATGAGTTCTCCATTCGTACTTCCATAAATGTTCGTTTGTACCAGCTAGCAGATTAGGCCAAACCTTTTCGAGAGCTTCTTCTAAGTTTGGATCTGCATTCAACTGTGTAAAGCACATAAAAATAAAATAATTTTATAGGCTTTTGAAAGTCTATATAAAAATATACAGATAGTACTCCTCATTATAAAATAAAGTGAAAATACATATTTTTTGTCAAATTTTTATTGGACATTATACAACAACAACAACTACTGAAGAGGGCAGGATGTACACAACCTTACCTTACCGGAAGGCACTGTTTCCGATAAATCTTTGACTAAAGAAAAGATGATAGGTTTTATTGGACATTATACAACAACAACAACAAGCTTCTTCCAAGTGAAGCTAGAGGTCCCTGAGAATAAACAAGCTTCTTCACCTCCCCAACTTCAGAAGAAAAACAAAGAAGCACTCCATCTGGTGCTGTGACCCTCCATAAACTGTATATCATCGCCACGGGAGGTGAAAGCGTGGGTGGATAGATTATATATATAAAAAAAATACAACAACAACAACTCAGTTGATTTTCACAAGTAAGGTTTTTGGGAGTGTAGGATGTACACAGTCTTACCCTTACCTTGAAAGGGAGAAAGACTGTTTCTGGTAGATCCTCGCCTAAAGAAAATATGAGAGGTTTATTGGACATTAATTATATAATCCGGATATAGTCGGGTTTCAATGCAGTACCGGACATCGGGTGGAAAACCCAAAAAAGAAAAAATTAAACTGAAATCCTAGATATCGACCACCACCTATGACACCAGACAACCACCAACTTCCTAAAATAAAAATACATGAGTACGTACCACATTCTTTACAATTCGGTCTTGAACTGAACGTGGAGCACATAATCTACTTGTTAAGCTTACTCCTCGACCATTTGCTGGCCAAAGGCCGTGGATTGAGAACTGTTGTTGAGCGTCGGTTTTGCAGGTATTTCCTAGAATTCTACAAAACGTAGGCGGCCACTGGAGTACATACTTCATAACATGGTAATCGGGCTGACTGATAACTGGGCAGAGAACACTACTACTCAAGAACAATAATACAAACACAAATTGCCCCATTTGCACTGTGTTAAAATTGAGTAGAATCGGTAGTCCATTGATCTATTTATAGTTGGAAGGATTTTGCTCTCTCCAGAAAAGTAAAAAAGAAGATGCTTTATGCAATTCCATCTAAGGAGGAATCTGAGCCCCATTCCACTGTTAATAGATCCAAATATTGCCGAGTCACTCAAGAGAATGGAATAATACATGATGAATTTGGTTATGGAATGGAATAATACAAATTGAATGATTCAACCCTTTTTAGCTTCTGTTCCTTTCCCCCAAAATCCCTTTACCTTTCTTTTTCTTGTTGATGCTCGTGTTGGCTAAAGGGGGTTTTCTGTTTCAATTGCAGGTTCCTTTCCCCCAAAATCCCTTTAGCTTTTGTATATTTGAGGATCACGGTCCAGAAAGAGAGGAGAAATATTCTCCTATTCCAAATGAAAGAAATTGTAAACATTGAATTTGAGAATACAAAAAAGTAGAGAAAAGAAAAACAAGATGTTATGTAAAGCAGGACACTAACGAAAAATTGAAAACTAATTAAAATCACGCATCAAAGTAATAAAAAATATAAGTTGGCAAGTGGTTAAAAAGGACAAAAGCAAAAATAAAGAGAAAGAAGAAGATACCTATGTTCTGTAACGGAGATGAATGTATCGTGAGAAAAGTATTTAGTTTCCTTATCTATATGTAACGATCCCAACGGTTGTTTTGAGTATTATAGCCCAATTTCCTCATTTATTGCTCAATTTATGCTTCACAGTCGTTTTAAGACTTACCGGGTTAGTTGGTTCAGGTCCGGAAGGAATTCAGAGTGAAATGAGACACTTAGTCTCATAATTGAAAAAATAATTAAGTTAGAAAAGTGGACCAGATATGGACCTATGTGTAAACGACCTCGAATTCAAATTCTGATAATTTCAATAGCTCCGTATGGTGATTTCGGACTTAAGAGCATGTCCGAAAGAATTTTTGGAGGTCCGTAGAGGAATTAGACTTGAAATGTCGAAAGTTGAATTTTTGGGAAGTTGACCGAGGGGTTGACTTTTTGATATCGGGGTCGAAATCCGATTCTAAAAATTTTAATAGGTATGTTATATCATTTATTACTTGTGTGCAAAATTTGAGGTCAATCGGACGTGATTTGATAGGTTTCGGCGTTATTTGTAGAAATTAAAAATTTTAAAGTTCAATAGGCTTGAATTGGGGCGTAATTCATGGTTTTAGCGTTGTTTGAGGTTATTTGAGGATTCGACTAAGTTCGTATGATGTTTTAGGACTTGTTGGTATATTTGGTTGAGGTCCCGAGGGCCTCGGGTGAGTTTCGGATGGTTAACGGATCAAAAATTGAACTACAACAGATGCTGCAATTTTCTTATGTTGGAAATTTCTTCTGCTAGATTCTAGCAGAGAAATCTCTCAGAATCGAGCCCAGGGTTGAGGGCCACAATAGAAGCCATGATCGAGCCCAGGGTCGAGGGCCACGATCGAAGCCATGATCGAGCCCAGGGTCCAGGGTCACGGTCGAAGGCAGGGTCGAAGACATGATCGAAGGTCTAGGATCGAGGCCCAGGATCGAGGACCTCGATCGAAGACCAAGATCGAAGGCCAATATCGAGGCAGAACCGAGGTTGTCTAGGCAGAATTATAAAAACAGGGACTTCGTCCTATTCGCCATTTTTGACAATTTAGAGCTTGAGGAGAGGCGATTTTTGATATATTTTTCAAGAAAACTTGAGGTAAGTCCCTTGTGATCATATCTACTCCATAATATTAAATTATCATCGAATAATTCGACTAGATTACATGATTTTGAAGTATAAATTGGAGACTCGAACTTAGAAATTTGGAAATATGATTTGTAGATTTGAGGGTCGAGTTGAGGTCGGATTTTGGTAAAATTGGTATGGGTAGACTCGTGGTTGAATGGGATTTTGGATTTTGTAACTTTTATCGAGTTCCGAGATGTGGACCCCACGGGCGATTTTTGAGCTAAATTTCAAATTTTTATGAAAAAATAGTATTTTCTTATGAAATTAATTCTAATAAATTTTATTGACTGAAACAAATTATTTGTGACTAGATTCGAGGCATTCAGAGGCCGATTTGCGAGGCAAAGGCATAACAGAGTAAAGAGTTTCACGTTTTGAGGTAAGTAACCGTTTTAAATCTGGTTCTGAGGGTATTAAACCCCAGATTTTGGTATCATGTGATTATTTTGGAGGTGAAGCACAATTTTGGTATCATGTGATTATTTTGGAGGTGAAGCACATGCTAGATGACGGGCGTGTGGGCGTGCACCGAGGGGATTGCGACTTGGTCCGTCTTGGGAAACTGTAAAGTTGAATAATTTGTTGTTAGCTATATGCTCTCTATGTGTTGATAAATATTTGACTGTAAATCATGTTAGAAATCATACTTAGGTTATGTGATAGTACTGTTGGGATCCACAGAGGTTGCGTACTTGTTGAATTACCCGCTAAATGCTATATGTACTCAGTCTCAATTTTTACTTGTACATTTTATCTCAGTCTCTGTTATTATTATTGATACATCATATCATTATTGTTTGGGCTGATTTCATGATTATTGAGAGCCCGAGAGACTGGAGAGATTTATAACTGAGAGAGGCCGAGGGCCTGATTGTGAGATATTGATATCATAGCACGTGAGTTGTCCGTGCAGCACGTGAGTTTGGCCTTGCGGATCCTTATATTATACTATAGCACGTGAGTTGGCCATGCAGATCCATATATTTATATTATGGCACGTGTGTTGTCCGTGCAGATTATAGCGCTTGGTATGTAGGAGCCTCTCCAGAGTCTGTACACCCCCAGTGAGCGCTGGTACCCATTGAGAGTGAGTGATGAGGGCTGGGAGCCCAGGGAGTGATGAGGGATGGGAGCCCAGTGAGTGATTGTTGTCCTAAGAGGTTGTACTTGATTTTCATTTGTTGTTGCACTTAGTTGCTATCTGTCATTGTTGCGAAATCTCTAAAAGATTGTTGATATACGGATTACATGAACAGGAACTGTATAAAAATTGATTTGTCATTAAACAGCCAGATTTGGTAGCATGTCTATTCTTTGCTGGAATTACTGAAAATAAATCATAACTGTGTAGCTAGTTACTATCTTCAGTTCCTTATTTATTATTGTTACTTGCTGAGTTGGTTGTCTGTACTTCGCGTGCATATCCAGGTGTTCCCGGACATAGCATGTGTTGTTCCTTTCGCGCGGTTGATTTTCAGGAGATTTTGAGGTAGCTGCCGTGTTCCGCAGACCTTGTCTCTCCTTCTCTATCTCTTTGTTTACTCTATTTGGTCTCAGACTATTATAGACTATATTTTTCAGATTTGNTCAGAGGTAGCTGCCATGTTTGGCAGACCTTGTCTCTCCTTCTCTATCTCTTTGTTTACTGTATTTGGTCTCAGACTATTATAGACCATAATTTTCAGACTTGTATTCATATTAGATGCTCATGTACTCAGTGACACCAGGTTTTGGGGAATATTCGTATTAGTATTTATGAAAGTTTGTATTGTATTTAAATATTATATTTTCAACCTTAAAGAGAAGTTTTGGTTTATTTAGATTATCGGCTTGCCTAGTATCGAGATAGGTGCCATCACGACAGGTTGGGATTTTGGGTCGTGACATATTGGTATCAGAGCCTAGGTTACGTAGGTCTCACGAGTCATGAGCATGTTTAGTAGAGTCTTGCGGATCGGTACAGAGACGTCTGTACTTATCTTCGAGAAGCTGCAGAACACTTAGTAAAATTTCCCTTCTTGTATTCTATCATGCGGAATCGATTCAGCTGGAAACATAACTCTTTGAATTCCTTTCATGCATTTCGTATGCGCACATGAGCGCTCGGTATCAGCTGTGCATCGCCAGGGTGTGATTCTACGAATGATGTTTGAGATGTATATTCCATATTTTAGTGATAGGCTAATCTGGATGACTTGAGGCCAGGTTTAGACCGCAGCTTAGGCTCGATAGCTTCCGTTGTAACCTGTACATTTGGACTCATATGTCCGGTAATGTCCCTATTAGTGGAATTTGTGGCTCGATGAGCGGTGGAATGGCTTTGTGATGAGTATGATGTAACTGCGGGATGCGTTAAGACGATTTAAATGTTCTTTTATTCTAGCTCAGTATATTATTTCGAGACTGTGCACGGGTTGCTACGATGGCTATGCGTTGTTATCGCACAATATTGGTGTAATAGTAAGGTGCTCTTTATGCGTTGAGGCGGTGAATGGCTCGAAGAGAGGATTTATCAGTACATGATTAAGGGGTTCAACAATTAATTCAAGCGGAGGAAAGGCAGTCGGACTATAGATGTCCAAGTTGGTTGTTAAAGTTATAAGACTTGGTATTTGCGAGCATTGTCGAATTTGCATTGTGATGCTGTATCGCCGTCCTTGTTTGAACGCATTATGGTCCTCTGGTGTTACGGTCTTCTTGGATTTTTCCTTCGAGGCAGGGTGTTATGAAATGGTGCATGCGGGACGGTTGCCAGAGATAGCTATGTGCAGAGGTTCAGAATCGAATGGGTATTTCTAATATTGATTGCTAGATAAATATGATCTTCGTAGAGGCTTAGAGTCGGTAACAATTTATTGGTTTAGGTGCGACAGAGATTCATTTTGATTTGATGCAACAGTTGGGCAGCAAAGTGTGAGGGAAGACATGACGGGAAGTGTTTCACGGTGTTTGAAGTACTAGCAGGTCAAGTAGTAGAAGTAGAGGTTGAGAAGTTGCTTAAAGGAGATGGTTTAACCGAAGTAAGAGTGACAGATTAGCATATGAATTATGTGGTAGGGTAGTCGCGTGCCTTGAGAAAGTGTAGAACGATTTGGAATCGTGATAGAATGTGATTTGGCCTACGGACTTTATTTGGAGTGAGGGTTACTGTACGAAGAAAGATTGAATATGGAAGAAAGGATTTTGTTTGAAATAAAGAGGGATGTGAAGATCTGATTATCGTTTCAGGCGCAATATAACTTGAGTTCGGAAGGTATTATTGAACTTTCAGTTGATGTCAAAAGGGAAAGTGCAGACTTATACAAATGGTGGGAGAGAATTAGCTCAGGAGAATTTGCTGATTACGTAGTTGTTGCACCCAGTGCAGCGTAGTTGGAAGATGTCGGTAAGGAATTCCACATGTGGGTTATCTCCTGTGAGTGGTTAGCGGTGGCGTGATGTTGATGAAACTTCTGTGATGAATATTACTTGCTACCTAGTAAGAGGTCGAGTGTGTGACTGTAGCTGGTGATTCAGTATGTTCATGAAAAGATTAACAAAAGACTTCGAGAAGTTTGGCTGGTTAACGGTGTGATATCTTAGTAATTGAGAAGGAGAAATCCTTGAGGGGTTCTAATTTTGTATAATTGCAGCTTAGGGCTAAGTGGGGGAGCCTGCTATTGATAATTTGATTTCATGGTTATGTGTTTAGATTTTTGTTTTGGTCGGA